AACCTACATCTATGTAATAGTTATAACGGGAAGTCTGTAGTTGTTAAAAATCGTTAGTTAAATAAAATATTATAAGATAAGCATAACGATTTCAGTATCATTTGACTCTTTTGGACCATGAAAATACATACCATATCCATGGAGCTTCGTCTAACTCCTAACGAGTGGGACTTATGAAATCTAAATTGAATGATGCTTTGAAATCTAGTATTTAAATTCAATATAAATCCTTAGTTAATCACTGTGATGAATCGACGAGTCAGCTGGATTATTTGTATTACGCAACAAATATAAAATATTTCAGTAATCTTAAATGAAAAATTCATTTGTATGAACTTAGTCTAGACATTTATCATACAGTTATATAGGATATTTAGCCTAAGCTAAAGTTTATAAGAAACACTATCAGATTGTTAAAAAAATTAAATTAAAATATATTGAGTTTAGTTGATAAAAAAAAGAGTTCGATGATTTGGCTGTTCACCAGAGAGTTATTAATTCCAGTGTTATCAACTTACTTATAGTTAGCTCATCAATTAGCACAATTATTTGTCAAATAAAATGTCTTTATTGTGGTCTAATGAGCAAATCTCCAATTGGTTACTAAGTCAAGTTACAGAAGGAAAATGATTTGAATATAAGGTATTTATGAAATACATCAAAATGGCTATTGATAATATGCGGCCAAACACTGTAGCTGATATCATTTCAAAAAAGAAGGAAGGAGGCATCCTTTTTATTCTTCTGTTCATTAGGATGTAATAGATAACTTTGTGTAATATCTATAGAAATCCTACTTTGACCACTTTGGTTTAATCAATCGGAGAATAATATCAGTGTATTACTTTTGAATCACATTGTTCAAAGTCAAGTGCAGTAATTTGTACCTGGTAAACGGGTAATGTAGAAAATCTTATGATATTAGTAATTGACAAGTGTTAACTATTATAATTTAATATATTCATCATATACTTATTACGAATGATTATGATTAAAATTTTATGATAAAATTAACTGTAAATAATGCTAAAACTAAACATCTCAATCATATAATAAATATTAATTTTCAATCTCCAACAGTAAATACATTACTAAATATTTATTATTAATATTTATTTGTTCTCATCATCTAAAGTGAGGATACTAAATACTTCAAAAAAAAAATGCATGCAATGAGTCCCGATACACAAACGCACACACACACACACATGTATGTAAAGTATTAGTATACTTGTATGTGATAGTAATTTTTTTTTCGCAACTTAAACATTCATCTAGTTTACGAGTGTGTTCGTATGATTGTTCAAAAAAAAAAGGAATATAATCAGTATTGAAATATTAATAATTTTCAATGGTTCATAAATTTTACTAGTACATCATCACCACTCAATTGAAATGAAAATTTACTGATTAATTTATACTAATTGTATGAATGATACAGCATACACTCATGTACTTATTTCATAGATGTATGCTAAAATGAATGAATAAAAATTTGCAAAATTTTATACTCGATTAGTGAATTCAAATATATAATTTTCTACACAGAATAAGATTGTTAGTGAATTTTATGATTATATGAAGAAAATGTGTATGCATATATGTACAATTGATAAATAATGGGTCAAAGACCACTGCTATATATATATATATATATATATATATATATATATATATATATATAATCGTAATTAGAACTCAATAACACAAAATTATTTAGTTGTAGTATACTTACACAGTTCACATTTTCGTTATTTTACAGTAGCACTACAACTTAATATTTAATCGACCTCAAAGCATTGAAAAATTATTTTAAACAAAATTCATGTACATGGATAGATAGATTCATGCACAATTTTCGTTCCAAAACCAGTAAATATTTATGTATTATTTATACAAATAATCAGTTTAATCAATTAATTAATGAATATTCTGAGAGTTAACTAACGAGCGAGAGAGCGAGAGAGAGAGAGAGAGATAGAGTAAAACAAAATAAAGTCAGTTGTAAACTTTCTCACATGCATACATACATACTAATCAAATTCAAATACACATATTCTTACCCCGAGTAAACTGAGAGTAAGCATAGAATAGATTTATAATATATATATATATATATATATATATATATATATATATATATTCCAACACATGCTTAACAAATAAAATTTCAATTAAACATAGTACTACACCATGTTGTGATTACGTATATAAAAATTAATGAATGATATTATATCATTAGCATCCTCATCATTGATAATTATTAGAATAACTCGTTTCAGTGAATATCAGACTATAATTTTATATCTGCATAATAAATGATTAACCATTGAGTACTTTTAGTGATGAAATGAAGTTTAGTTTTTTGAAATTTTAATAAAGCAATTCGTAACGATAATTAAAGGCAATTACTACATTGTATATTATCTTAATAATAATAATAATATTATCATGAGGAATTACATTTCAACAGTAGCTTTATTTGTCTTCCACAAATCATTCCAATCTCGTAATTATGGATGAGAATTTAGGATGCATTTTTGTTGATAGTTTTTGGATGAAACAATTTAAGTTTAAGAAACCTAAAACTTTTCATCGATCAATAATTAATTATTATAAGACAGAGTTGACTGTTAGCTAGCTGATGGAACTGAACAACTTTATTAATGACACCAAAAGGATCACTGCATCATGTAATGACTGTAGTTGAAAATATGGATAACTAGATTTCCAAATCATTGATCGAAATATGACTTGCTCACCGATATACCTGAACGTCTTGAGTTCATTTTGGTGTAGTATTTCTGAGAAGCTTACAAACTCACATAACTACTCAACAATATTTTATGGTATTCACTAGCTCTTTAGCAAGTTTCAATTCCTCACGAAAGGCATATTAATGAGTAAAAAATCTGTTTCTAAAATCAACTGCAGATTCATTCATTATTTTTATTGACTGTGTTTATAAAGAAAATAGTCATGAGAATAAATCTTTTATAAAACATGAGTTTTGATTTGTGATCGATTTTACCTTACTTACAATGAACAAGTGACATTATATTGATCAGATTTGTATGAATTTGAAGAAATATGAAAAAACAAACAAACAGGATATTCCCTTCAATGACATCATCATTTTAATAGATTGTCATTTGTGAATGTGCATATGAATGCATTCTATGAGATAATAATCTAAAGGATTAAAACATTCATATCGACTGACGTATATACGAACTCAGCTGGACTAAAATAACAAAAACTATCTAACTCTATCAAATTGTCATTATTACGTTGAATAATAATTCTAAATGAATTTTAAATGAAGGAAGTTCACTTGATCCCATTATGTTTGATATAAAGTTTGATTAGTTAGCTAATGTAATCAATATTGATAGTGAACAAAATTCATTCACACATACCTACAAAATAATGATAGAATAAACTTTTTGAATATTCAACGAATTCATATTTTGTTCGCCTACACTATCAATTATCACTACTACTAAACACAACGACTAATACTGCAACCCTACCACCCAATATATCACTAACACAAACCATGACAGATTACCTAAGACAAGTGAGCTACTCATTCATGTGACCGATTTTAAACTAACCAACTAACTAGTCGACTAGCTGACATATATACACATGTACACATATACATAGATAACAAAGGGAAGTATATATTTTATTGATATGATATACAATCATAGTGAGTAAATACTAGGTGAGTAAGAATAACTAACACAACGATTATACAACATTGTATGATAATATGCTAATGATGGACACATCAGAATTTTTGAGACTACAATTTGATCAACTCAAAGTAGGGACAGGTGTGATATATTTATATATTACAAAATTTTGTTTTAACCAAGCACAGAGTAAGAATAGAAATAAAGTGAATTCGCACACACGCATACACAAGCACATACGAATCTTTCGATCAGCTTTCTTGGTCGATTTTATACACCTGTCTAAAATGTTTCATTCGTAAAGCTAATGTGAAAGTGAATTTTTACTGACTAATCAGTCTTGTTTACACATTTGTGATTACATAAACAAATGAGAATAAATAATCCATTATGAATAATATTCTATTCAATAATTCCAAAGACTTGATAAATTCAAAGATATTTTATGTTATACTTGAGAAAGCATTAAAATGTATGACTAGTTCTTTGATTGGATTTTACATAGATTTCGTCAAATAATAATCAATCTTTCTGTAGAGATGGGATTATTGAATCCATGGGTTGAAATTTAGTGGCCAATGTTTTAAGAATTTGGCGAATCGGATAAAATGTGCGGTGATTGACTATTGTCCGAAAAAATAAAATTTCAATATGGATTCCTATCATGTCCTGAATCTTAATGTTATCTGGAGCAAAATACGGCGAATTTTTAAAATACATCTTTAATCTAACGTTGAAATTAGTTAAATCCAGCTACTAAGAGTCATTCTCAAAATTTCCAGATTACAAACTCTGCGCTTTTAACTATTGTATATCCACATCCGATAGGCGGAATATAGAGTCATTAATGCAGAGGACTCGTCGGTTTATAGTTTTGGGCGATTTCAGGCGAAGACGAAACTGCTGTCCATTACTCACGGACTTTGAATGATTTTCCACTTAAAACTAACCCCTGGATAATAAGGAATGTTTGACAGTGCTTAATCAATCTAGTAGGGAGAGGCCGTCAGTTTCTCAATTACTAACTACTCATAGTGGAAATACCTACATACTAAGATCACTTCGTTTCCATTAGGAAATATGGTGATACAACAATTCAGTATACGAGTATAAGTCTGTTCAAGTACACTAACAAAGTCTGCTTCACTATTTAAACTACTACATACTTAAAATTAATGGCTATGTATGTAAAGGAGAATTAAACAGTTGATTCGCCCAGTATTTTCAAACATAGAGAGAGAATGAATAGATAGAATTTTCAGATGTTTAAAGTTATGTAACATTTAATTTAACACTTACAGGAGTAGTTGCCTTTCTACGACGAGATCCACTGATGGTAAATGCTGGGCTTCCTGAAGTAGATGTCTGAGATTCGGTTGTGATAGATCCATCTTGGAATACCTGCAAATCCATATTAGTATCCTGTTCTGAATTTTCTGGGTTAGCAGCTGCTGGAATGATAGTTGAGTTCTTTGTTGAGGAAACAGTAGAAACTGTGCATGTGGTACATGATGAGGAGGCAGTACTTACTATTGTCTGTTGCGACTGAGCCTTGTTGGCATTCTGTAAGGCTGTGATCGCATTAACGAGATTTAATGCAAGACTATTTTGGGCAGTAGTTGCATTTGAACCTGTCAGACTGAGAGGAAGCGTGCTTCCAGATACAGTGGAGGGCGAGATACAGTTAACACCGAGTGAATCAGATGTTGCTGGGGTATGAAATCTTTCAATAAGTTTTGCAGTTGGATTCTGTAAACATGGTAAAAATGCGATCCGTGAATTACTAAAGTAATTAAAAACATCGTTCACATGAAAGATAAGAGTATGTTATTTGTTTATTTGAAATGGAAATTTACTAATATGAATTAAAAGTTGTCAAAATACAATTATTAAACTGAATGGTAGAATCATGAGAATCATCAGACACCAACCAATAAGTATTGCTGTTTCCGACAAGTGATGTGATTAAAATAAACTAAAAGATATATGACCACCATTCCATTCATTTGTTTTGTTAGTATCGATTGGGTTTTAGTAGCTTGAAAGCTACTAAGAGTAAATCTGAGAAAATTATTGAATGTTTTACGTCTGCAGATGGCCAACGCGGGTTTTTGTAGCAAATCATCAATACGTTTTAAATATCAACTGCTTACTTTCTGTTTGATGTATTATATACAGTAACTACATGGAAATAGAACTGTTGTGTATAGTTTTAAAAACTCTAACCACTAGATAAACGGAGAAGAACAGTTGGTCTTATAAAAACATCAAACTCCGCCTGGAGCGCCCCTAAAGTACTGCTGATCCCAAGCCCGAATAAATAGGAAAAGTAAGGCATGGGGTTAGAGACCCAATCCTATAGAAAGCTAACTTCCTAAAAAGTTGCCAATCAGAAAAAACTATTTATTTTCTACCCTGGGAGTAGGGAGGTCTAGAATTAGAATAATTATGACACCTCATGGTGACAACCAAGCATCTTCAGAAGTCACGAGTTTGATGTCCCTTCTGACGACTAGAGAAACCATTATCATAGGTACATGAGGTATTCGCACAATGTAGGTGACCGGACGAACCATTAAAACTGCATCGCGCAGCAAGCTCTAACTTTGGGCCCACAGAAAAAAAAGGAAAAGAGGTATATCAAGGAACAGAGTGAGCCGAGAATCGGAGACGGACATGAAAAATCGGTGGCAGTCGGATAGAACTAGAAAAGAGAGCTCAAAACAAAGTTGGTCGGGGAATCCTGGTCGGTGACCCATGCTCCATTAGGAGTAACAGACATAGTAGATGACTAAAATCAATAAGGGGGATGGTGATGATATTTTAAAGGAAGTCTTTATGTGGATGAATTAACTTTTGTCTGCATATAAGTTCATTTAAAAAAACCAATTTTGAATCTGTGAATATAATGCGGACAATATTTTTAAATGTCGTATGCCACGAGTAAGGGTTCCATGACGTCCGTATAAGCGAAAGGCGTTCATGAGGCACAAACGTTATAGGATGCTTCAAAACAGTGAGAATGACAGCATTTGAACTTCCCCTTTTCGTAGCATTAGTCTAAGTGCTATATAGCGCCATTTTGAAAATATCAGGGCAAACTGTTTTGAATGCCAAGATATTTTAATACAATAAATTCTAAAAACAGTACTGTTTGTAAAATGAAATATTAGAAAAAAATGGATGCCCGGGTGCTCAATGTAAATGACTTTCTTACTAGACAGTCGTAAGCAGCATAGGATTGGGCTTATGTATTGATCAACTCAAGTCAGTTAACTGTATCAACACAGCGGGATGAAATTATCAAGACAAGTACCAGAGTAATAGTTAAGAGAAACAGTAGTAGCTAAAGACTTATAACATCTAAATTTTATTTGTTCAAGAGGGAGAGAGATATTGCATTTATTAGTCCACCGACGTCGAATGACTTTTTCGAAGACGATAAGTCTATCTCTGACCTGGAAAAAACTAAGTTCTCAAAGTATTTATTCTTAACCTTATGTGAAAATATACCAGGCTTTGGTATCAAAATGGTTGGAATCAGAGGGCATATATTAATTTCAACCGGCTTAAAATATAATAATTATGAGGTCCTTCTATCTAGAATGAACGGGGTGCAAACAAACATTTATACTTCCGATATTTGTCCTTATTGTTTTTAAATTGTTTTATGAACTTGTTTTCACGATATCACTTCATATATCTGGTAATCCGCTATCATTTATGGTCAATAACAAGATTTATCGGTAACTTTTGAACCGGTCGAGGTCTGTACTTTGACGGGGTCAACAATTATATAATCGTTTAATCTTAATATGCAGTTTGTAAAGATAGCGACTTTCAGTTAGAATGCCCAACCCCCAGAAAAACGTGCACTACACAGCTTGCAACAAAGCTAGGATGATGGTTCAACATGAATAACCTGATTTGATAAGTATATAGAACATTTAAATTAATACAACTGATATGCAACTGTTTATAGAACCTATAGTTTCCAAATATTATATGTTTCGCTAATAGCTTATATTTGTTTCCAAAGGCTAACTAAAAGTCGTAAAAGGCGGGGGCTGATTAATTTCAGGTAGAAACTCGAAGTAGGATGTATCGAGGTGAGCAGGTATGTTCTTTAGATATGCGGTTCACTTATCAGAAATAAAGTATTCTTCTATTTAATTATTGCTTGATTTTCATTAAAATAAATAACTAACAAGACTTAAGAGGCATGTACGCTACAATAATTCAGAAGTTTCATTCAACAAAAGGTTCAAATAGGTTTGCAAAAGAAAAACAAGTGATCTTCGATAGTGGTTACTAAGTACAGAACAAGAGTGAACGTATCACCACAGAGGAATAAATTTCACTTACTTCCGTTATTCTGTGGTATATTCTCAAGTGCTCCTCCATTAGAGACCGTTCGGTTGACATACTTGAACACTGCGAACATGTATAAGTAAGAAAACCCACAGAAGTTGGATGCCGTATACGAAAATGTTCTTTCAGTGAGGTGGGATTCAGAGTTAGATAATCGCAAACATTGCAACGAAGAACATGTACGTATGTGCCAACTGCATTGGTTAGTCGTGTCAGTACCAGGGATACAGTTTTGGCTGCTTGTTGGTTAGTGCTTGGATCATTTTTTAACAAGCAAAAGTTATCACAAGAGTTCGGCTTGAGCAGGTTATTATTTAAAGTAAGCGAAGCAATACACTGTTTCAAAAGCGGCTCATGAATTTGATCCATTTTTGCGAGTACCTGTTATGGAATATATTAGAATGTAGGAAAAGAAGAGAGTGCGACAAATGGTTAGGCTTTTTGACTCATGCGCGTTTAAAGGTTGCTTTGTGATATCGCATGTGTAAAATGAAATAGCACGGAAAAACACAAAAGGCGATAATTAACAAAGTAAAAGAGCTTATCATCAGATATTTTTTGTAAGATTACCGAAAAAAGTTGAATGTGAAGAATTAGTGACAGCCTACGTAGTTTCTGCTGAGTTGCTTGCCGGTGAATAATGTAAGGAGGAAAATGTATTGAAACCTTTAATGTTGATACATACGAAGATTAGGACCGAGCATTTTTGTCCATATATAGAAACTTGGATCAAGTGATGAACCTAAAGATGTTAGTCTGATAATTACACCATGTGAATGATATGAAAACATAGTTATGTGTACAAATGTTTGATCTTGATTACCAACTACCTTTCTGGATTGTAGTGGGCAGTGACTTTGAAATTTTGGTGCTGTAAATCAGTCAAAGGAAGTGAATTAATTGAGATAGGATGGATAAAACATTTTGTTTCATCAATCTTGTACTTAAAGGTAACCGAGAGTGTCGGTAAAGAAATCCCCAAAATAATTAGTTCTTTAAGTGTTCAATATGAAGGCTAACCTCGTGAGTCCTAATGGACACAACCTAGCCGAACGGCCCTGGCCACGAATCTACAAAAGATTACCTTTGTTTACTTCGTGTAGGGCATGTCCTCTGACCTCTTAGTAAGCTTTGTATACTCATAGTCATTGTAACCATCGTTCAAATATACCTTTGATCCTCTTCATGCGTGACTTCTTATTCGGCCTGGCCACTGGATGGTGTTACGGACAAAAGCACTGTTCTGTGAATATCCATGGTCTCCTCATTAGTAGGAATGATGTGACATAGTACAATCAACAAAATATTGAGTGTCAATTCCTCATCATAAGATTATGTAAGTGTACATATTTTTACAAATGGTGATAGTTTTTTGTTTTTACGCTTTCGCATTTATATACATCTTATTTTTATTACGTCAGGACACACATCCACGCTTCTTAACGTGAAGATTCACATCCTAGAAATCTCAACTCAAACCATTGTGACTTGACTATAACGGAGCCTGCTTCTGGTATTCTGGGGCCGACTTCTACGAGCATGGCGTGACAGGCCCATGCGCGCATTTTCTCGCAGTTCTAAAGGTACTATCGCGAGAGATAAGCAGATACATTACACTTAGCTTGTCTATTGACTATGTTTACAAATTTAATCACACACTGAATAGAGTAATTCTTAGACGTGGGAACCTAACCGATCGACAAAACGTACATAAACATTTCCACAACCTCGAACCGCAACACGGATCGACAACATAAATGTTGCTGCTTATGTGAGAGGCCACTGGAGAGCGAACGTTCGACAAAGGCCTTTTCTAAAAGGTGTACGCTTTTTTCATCTGATTTCAAAATAATGGATTGGAGGAACTGGCTACACCTGCCGATCGGGTTCTAGAGATCACCAGAACCTCAAGCACTTAGGTGTATTCTGCTGAAAACTCATCTTGACCGATCTAATGAGAAATTACAGACCTCCAGAAGCAGGTAACGCGAATCGGTGTTGGTACCGAAACAACTGGGGAAAACCCTCCAGATGGTGAAAGAAAACATGAAGTTTCTTAGCGCTAAGTCTTCTGCCACAAGCATTCTGTGTATCTCTCTGGCCGGCATGAGTTAAGGGTAGCCGTGCCCAGTGGACAAAGCCAAGTAGAAAACCGAATATAAAAAGCTGAGTTCACCTTAAAGTTGGTTTACATAAACCTATTCAATTGATTTTCGTTGCTCTAGATGTACCAGTTAGAACCATTGGTACATACTTGCTAAAACTTCATAGCCTACTAGTCGACCTAAGCAAATGGAGGTTATTAGATGACTTTACTAAGTAGTGGTAATAATAATAGTTTATTATGAAAAGTGTATCAAGCACAACCGCAACTACCATGTGTAACCAGCAATGTTGCTCATCACATCACGACTATACGATCACCTGCATTCTCAAATGCATGTGACTAGCTCCTGAAAAGCTAAGTCTTACCATAAATAGATTCGATCACATGATAGATTTAAGGATTATCCGTCAAAAGGGTGTACATGTTTTCTTAGTAGATTAGCGATCTGATCATAAAATTGGCAAGAACCCGAAGCAAACAAAAGGTTCAATCTCACAAACATCAGTGGGTTGAAGTCATGGTCCTCATCATCAATGTTTGCTGGTTAGTAACTCCACACTCCCTCCTCTTGTGTTATTTGGCCCATTTTCAGTAACTGTACGATAATATTTCATGCCTTATTCCAACCTCTATATATCATATGATGTTGAGAGCCACCATTTTTGGATGTTCAGATTTACGAGCCTGTCAGTCTGTTCTAACTTAAGAACCATAGGTAGAAAATGAAGTGGTGGTGATTCTAAATTACAGAGAACGAGCCACACTCTGGTAGCTACTCACATCTAATAGACTGGTAGGATTTTGTCAACGGTTTGTGCGGAGTTACGAGTCCCTCACGAAACCCTTCATCAACTCACTACATGGGAATGCGAAAGTCAAGGATTTCACCGACAATGTGAAGAAATCCTTTTCCACAATGAAAAAACTCATCACCAAGTTAACTATGTTAGGGCATCTCCACACTGAAGCGCCCGTTATGATCATGGTAGACTCATCTGAAGAAGCATTAGGAGGATTCTTACAACAGTGGCTAAACAATATCTGTCTACTCTTAGGATCTTCTGGAGACAGTTGCAGGACATTGAATTCAGCTTATAAATTTTTAAGGTTTTCTCTTAGCTCATCTTCAGACAAGTACTCAGCTCGAGAGTCCAAGCAACAGGACTATTTCCTGCAGCTTGCTTCAGATATAGAACATATATCTGAAGCAAAGAGTGGAGTTGAATAAGCCTTGTCTCTTAAAACTTCCTTGAACACTTTCCAGGGATGTGACTTCCTTAAGCTTGCTCAGCATCCAAAGGAGATGCTAATCTCCGGCATGACAACTTTAATATTACAAATCAGATGGATTAAAACAGATAAGGAAACTTTGATGCATGACACATCCACAGGAATGGATAATTTGATCTTGCGGAAACAATATCAGTGCTACGTATTCAATATATGTGATTCAGAACTTTCCACCTAGATGTCCAGGCAACCATCAAGCCGGTAGAAGAAAGATTTTACTGACCTGGTGTGAATAGGGGTGAGAGAGGTGGCCTACTTTTGTGTAAGTTGCAAGAAATCGAAAGTAATTAGGCATATCAGCCAAGTTCATCTTGACTTGATGGGGCCACTCCCGGACTCAAATGAAAACTCTTGTTTTCTGTCATGTGTGGATCATTTATCGCAATGACCAGAAGCAGTTACTACTGAGGATATCACTTCTAAAACGACGCTCCGCACCTTCATCGAACGGTGGGTGGAAAAATGCGGATGCCACTCAATTAACTTTACAGACGCAGATACTGGTTCGAATCCGAACTTCTCAGTTGTGTTATCATGCTCCTAGAAATTAAATAATTCCAGACGATTGCCTACCATTCACAAGCTAACGGTCTTCTAGAACGATTTCCCCATCATTTGAAAGCCTCACTTTAGCTGAGAACATATCACAATAGACTGACTCTCTTTCACTCGTTTCGCTCGGAATTAGTAATGTAGTGGGAACTGACATTGGATGTACCCTACTTTAGCATGGTTCGTTTATGGCACGATGCTTAGATTCGAAGGACAATTAGTAGATCCTTTGTCTTTATCAACGGATGTAGATCTAAACGATTACTTGAGCAGGCTTATAAAGACAGTGCATTCAGTTAAATATTCACTACCCAACTGCAATCGACTGATGTTTCTACCTAACTCACCCTTTGACTCATATCACACGGTTTTGTATGTTGCAACTGGATAAACCTAGAACTTAAAGTTACATCTGAAGCTCTACCTTCATATCTTATGGTAGTTTGAAAATAGTGAATGTATTAGCTTCATGAATAAAACTTTTAGCATCCTGGCCTGTAAATAATAACATGTTAATGTTTAACTGAAAACCCATACACAAGCTGTTTCGTACTTAGTAATTAGTGGACGATTGTTTTCGTCAATTTTGAATGAGAATCTGGGGTACATAATGAGATTTACTTGTTACACATTTTAGGGAAAATATTAAGGCTGAGGTTTTGATTCCACTTGGATATTTGGATAGAAAACAGGCTTTAATAGATTTAAATTGCCGTTCTAGAAGAAATGAGCTCTCCTGTCACTTGCTTGTTAAGGAAACTATTGACAGCTGCATTCGACTTTCAGTTAGTTATACTATGTTACCGAGGATACACCAGAGTAATGTATAATACTTGTTTGAACGGACCCCATATTTAGTCAAAGGCAAAGATAGACGACAGTTTAGTTGTAGAGCCTGTCAGGTGGAACATGTGTCACTATGTGTACATGAGTGGTTGTATTAGTATGTCATATAATCACCTTCTGATTCCTTCTTCCTCGAGACAACACTGAATGAAAATACTGGTATAATATTATAAATTGTGTTTTGTATTAGCGTGAGTTCAAGAGTTGAAATATGTAGAGAAACGACTAATTTTCAAGCACAAAAACACACACTTTTATAAATTTCAAGTATTCACCGCACGAAAAACATGCTTTAATAACACTGTCTGGGGAGCACACAGTAAATAGTCTGTTTTAAGTGTTACGCACCTGTGAAAGTCGGTTCCGTAGGCGATTTGTCTGAAGTCGCGTCGTCTCTGCATCCATCTTATAACATTCATTAAAATTGATAAAGTTGGGGCATCTGATAATTTCAAAGGCATGTCGTGCTTAATAACACTGTCATCAAAAACGATGCCGATACGGGGACCTCCCAAACAGCTTTAAGCAAGAGTTGTGAATGAAGTAGCTCGTCGATACATCTGAACGGTGGTCAACGTGTCAGGGTGTGTAAAATCTAGGCTCAACAGTTGTCTAATAGATGCCCATTACGGTGAGTAGAAATGTCACCTACTGCCGATATTTGACTGAGGGATGTTA